TTATAAAATGCTTAAAATGACCTAAAACGTGTGCAAAATAAATTTGGGACGATTTTGAGCATTTACAATTTTTGCGCGCTGACGTACGCACAAGCGCGCGTTTTTTGACCTGAAATTAACCAGACTGATATTGACCTTGATCATGATAAATATGAATGAGAAATACCTTTTGGTTTTGAAGATATGATCATGAGATGATTTTCAGAAAAATTCACAAAATGGCGCCTAGATGACGTCATCAGTCAAGGTCAAGGTTGAAAACGTTATTGTGATTTCTCTATATGCCTATACATATGTGTGCCAAATTTCAAGGTATTTGATTTAGACAATTTCAAGTTATCTTGCTAACAAAAAAGTGGCGAGAATTAAGAAAAATAAACTAGACATATAATACTTGTTTGGAACAAGTATAGGTGGGCTGGTCAACTAAAATTTGAGACAAAATAGAGCAAAAATAAGCGACATACTGCTTTAAAATTCTTATCAAACAATATCATGTAGATTCATGACGTGAACGAAATTCACCTTCTATGGGCATAACACGCAAATTATGAAGTTTTTGACATGAGGCCTTTAATCAAAATTTTTACTATGATGACGTCATCAAAATGAACAATGGTATTTACTGCGCTTGTAGAGAATTGTCTTAGCTACAACATATCGAAATTTTGAAGAAAATTGATCAATATTTACAGAGATACAATCAATTTTACATAAATATGCTGACGTCATAATATGCAAATTCGTATTTTGAGTTCCAAGGCCATTGTGATGATGTCACGATACACTTAATGGCCAAATGAGACATGGAATCATATTTCCGACTCATACTCTATCTTAATATGAAAAAAAATTGAGGATCCCGGTGCATTTCAAAGAGCTATAACGGATTTTGTATAGGCATGTTTTTGCCCATATATGCTATGTATTAAAAGAGCTCGCGCGCACTGACATTTATCTTGAATTTACGCTCATCTTGTTGATAATGGTCATAAAGAGATAAACATGGAATCAAATTCCTTGAAAAAATATGAGAAATATCATGAAAGAAAAAAAAATGGCGATTCTATGTTTTGTAATGGTGTTACGCGCGAAAACGCGCGCGCATGCTCGTACGCGCGATTTTTTATAAAATGCTTAAAATGACCTGAAACGTATGCGAAATAAATTTGAGACGATTTTGAGCATTTAAAAATTTTGCGCGCGCATTGACGCGCGGACGTACGCACACGTGCGCGTTTTTTGACCTGAAATTGACCGGACTGATATTGACCTTGACCATGATAAATATGAATGAGAAATAACTTACCGTTATAAAATTATGATCATAAGTAAATTTTCAGAAAATTTCACAAAAGGGCGCCTAGATGACGTCATCAGTCAAGGTCAAGGTTGAAAACCTTACTTTGTTTTGTCCATATGGCTATACATATGTGTGCTAAATATCAAATCATTTGATTGAGCCATTTTCAACTTATCTTGCTAACAAAAAAGTGGGTCGAAATAAGAAAAATAAACTAGATTTGTAATACTTGTTTGGAACAAGTATAGGTGGGCTGGTCGAACCAAAATTTGAGACAAAATGAAGGGTACATTTGAGATAGCTTATTGTCTCAGCTACAACATACTCGAAGTTCAGCGTAAACGAAGCTAAACGACAGAGATATTGCTCGCGAAAGAATCCAGTTTTGAGAAAAACTCATGTCCCATAGAGAATACACTCAAAATGTGAAAAATTGACATGTCTTTTTTAATCGCGAAAATACGCCCTGATGCCTTTGTCAAAATGAAAATTAGGGCCAATTTTATTTGTAGAGAATTGTCTCAGCTAAAACATATCAAAATTTTGAAGACAATCGATCAATATTTACAGAGAAACAATCAATTTTCCGTAAATATGCTGACGTCATAATATGCAAATTGAAATTTTGAGTTTGGAGGCCATTATGATGACGTCATGAGTTAATTGAGGGTCAAATGAGACATGAAATCATATCTCCAATTCATACTGTATCAAAATATGACCCAAAAATTGGGGTCACCTTGCATCCTAAAGGGCTACAATGGATCTTGTATAGGCATGTTTTTGCCCATATATGCTATGTATTACAAGAGCTCGCGCGCACGGAAATTTATGTTAAACGGTCGATCATTCCATTATTAATAGTCATAAAGAGACAAGCATGGTATTAATTTGTTTGTAAAAATATGTGGAATATTATGAAAGAAAAAAAATGGCGATTCAATGTTGTGTAATAGTTTTACGCGCGAAAACGCGCGCGCCGCGCGCATGCGCGTGTGTGTGGGCGATTTTTTATAAAATGCTTAGAATGGCCTAAAACGTATGTAAAATGATTTTGAGATGATTTTGAGCATTCAAAAATTTTGCGCGCGCACTGACGCGCGGACGTACGCGCACGCGCGCGTTTTTTGACCTGAAGTTGACCGGACGGATATTGACCTCGATCATGATAAATATGAATGAGAAATAGCTTTTGGTTATGAAGATATGATCATGAGTTGATTTTTACAAAATGGCGCCTAGATGACGTCATCAGTGAAGGTCAATGTTGAAAACGTTATTGTGCTTTGTACATATGCCTATACATATGTGTGCCAAATTTCAAGGCATTTCATTGAGCCATTTTCAAGTTATCTTGCTAACAAAAAAGTGGTTAGAAATAAGAAAAATATTTAATAAATAAATAAATAAATAAATAAATAATAAAGGCAATTCTAACGAAATTATAAGGTGGTCTGTACGTTATACAGCCCACCTGATAAATAACTAGACATAATACTTGTTTTGAACAAGTATAGGTGGGCTGGTCAACTAAAATTTGAGACAAAATAGAGCAAAAAAAACAAAACGAGATACTGCTAAAAAACAATGTTATTGATGTAATGATGTAAACGAAATTCACCTTCCATAGGCATAACACGCAACGTAAGAAATTTCTGATATGTGCCCTTTAATCATAATTTTCACTATGATGACGAGATCAAAATGAATAATAATGATGACTGACCTTGTAGAGAATTGTCTTAGCTAAAACATATCGAAATTTGGAAGAAAATCGATCAATATTTACAGAGATACAATCAATGTTACATAAATATGCTGACGTCATAATATGCAAATTCGTATTTTAAGTTCCAAGGCCATTATGATGATGTCACGATACACTTAATGGCCAAATGAGACATGGAATCATATTTCCGACTCATACTCTATTTAAATATGAAAAAACATCGAAGGTCACGGTTCATTCCAAAGAGCTATAACGGATTTTGTATAGGCATGTTTTTGCCCATATATGCTATGTAATAAAAGAGCTCGCGGGCACGGACATTTATCTTGAATTGACGCTCATCTTGTTATTAATGGTCATAAAGAGATAAACATGGTATCAAATTCCTCAAAAAAATATGAGAAATATCATGAAAGAAAAAAAAATGGCGATTCTATGTTGTGTAATGGTGTAACGCGCGAAAACGTGCGCGCTTGCTCGTACGAGCGATTTTTTATAAAATGCTTAAAATGACCTGAGACGATTTTTGAGCATTTAAAATTTTTGCGCGCGCACTGACGCGCGGACGTACGCGCACGCGCGCGTTTTTTTACCTGAAATTGACCGGACTGATATTGACCTTAATCATGATAAATATGATTGAAAAATGTTTGGTTATGAAGATATGATCAAGAGTTTATTTTCAGAAAATTTCACAAAATGGCGCCTAGATTACGTCATCAGTCAAGGTCAAGGTTGAAAACCTTACCGTGCTTTGTGTGGCTGCAGCGAGGTCGATCTCAAATAAATAGTCTAAACAAAGGCTTCTACGGGAATTGTATCTTTAATTGGAGTTTCATTTTCGTTCCAGTAAATTCCGTACTAGTATATTCCGTGAAAACTGTGGATAAATCACAGATAAAGAATAATAAATATAAGTACATCATAGCATCATCAATATAGCAATAAACAGTCTCTTTGAGAAACTTATAAAATAATGTACATTGTGTCATGATCTTTATAACTCATTAAAATAACCCCAGTCACTATTCTAGTCCATATGTATTAAACGGCTTTACATAAATACAAATCACACTAAAAGTGTCTCAACTAGACTTCACTATATCTTGAATAAACGATGAACTAAACAATTATAAATTCTGAATTTCTACTTAGTGCTTCAGCACTCTCATAATATATCATCAAATTATTTAACAATATCTTCACTATCATCATTGTTCTTCATATCAAATCAAATGTACATATTAAACCAGCATGGGCTTGCATGTCTTACACTACATACTAACATCAACATCTCTCAGTATGAAGTACAAAATACACACACTAATTTACACTTTATGTTTCAACAATTCATAGAAATAGATTCAATATACAACAAAACTAACCTCTTTGCCTGACATAATGACAAAACTATGACTGAAATCCCCATGATGCGCTGGCAAAAAGGGGATCCTTGGACCTCAACACAACCATGTTCTTGTAGCCTTCTGAGTGTTTGATATCAAGTGGTTATCAATAGGTGGCGCTATATTAGGCACCTTGCCTGAGGAAGTGCTATTACAAATATATGTGTGTTCATGTCATGCATCAATAATACAAGAACAAATGACTTGGGTGATAACTTAATTAAGTGCAACTGTCACAACACTTTGTTCATATGCCTTTACATATATGTGCCAAATTTCAAGGTATTTGATTACCGGTAAACCATTTTCAAGTTATCTTGCTAACAAAAAAGTGGGTGGAAATGAGAAAAATAAAGAAATAAAGGCGATTTTAACAAAATTATAAGGTGGTCTGTATTAGATACAGCCCAACTGAAAAACAGACATGACCAGGCAAGTTAGAGGAGGAGGTGACAAGAAACAAGGAATTGATTTTAATCGGCCTTAGTTTAGTAGTTTATGTTCATCATCATAATAATATGCTTCAATTTGTTTCTTTCTTTTCCATGTGTTTTTTCTTCAGGTAACTATGGGGACATAAACTTCTGAAGACTTAAGAGCTTATTGTTGGGTCCTTAGCCTTGCATCATGTTTAACTCGATCCTTGAGAAGCTACGATCACCTACCCAGCCAGAGAATCAACAGTTATTCTCTGTCATGGTGCCTGGACGAGCTGACCAAGGCAGACCTGATCAAGAGGAAGATGGATTCTTGCTCATTGGTGAGACTGCTAGTGAAAGAAACACCATACTGCCTGCTCATCATACCCCCAACAGCGTGTACCTTCCTTCTTATTCACAGGTTTGTCTTGCTACCTTACATGTAGCTAGCTTAGCAAATTTTGTGGCACAGAGAGACATGTCTGGAACACAAAATGCATAAATGTGAAGAAAAAATATTTTCATGGCACAGGGATTCAGAGATAGAACCACCACTAACAAAAAAGTAACACTATAAACAATGATAGAGCTATAAAGTAAGGCTATTATTTCTTTGCACCTTATTATAAATTACAATATTAATCATAAATGTAACTTGTATAGCGCCAAATCCACTCTGTAGAGTACTCAAGACGCATGCACCCTGCCCTTATGACACACACTTTCTCAAAGTTCTGTTGGAATCTTCAAGGTTGAAGGAAGCAGACTACACTTTAAAAGAATAAGAAGAAGAAATTAATTCAAAACTATTACTTAGGTATTTCAAATTAAAACTTCTTATTATCAGACTTAAACCATTACACATTTCTGTGTTTAGGATCCATCTTTTCATGCCACTACTTTTTGCTAAGGTACATTATCCATATTAATCCTCTCTTTTCTCCTAATCCTGAAATGCACTATTGTTTGGTAATCTGAAAAGGGAATCATACCGGCCTCAAATAAATTCAGTTTAATTCATTAAAACCAATAAGGTATCCTGATCATTTGATGAACGGCACCGAATTTAGAACAAATAACAACAGAGTTTGATAATAATAATAATAATATAGACATTTATAACGCACAACATATCCACCCAGAGGGTGCTCAAGGCGCTTACAATGAGCTACATAATATACTTAGATACAATTTTGCTTACATTACATTACACATGGTTATAAAAAAGAAGAAGATGATATTAGTTAAAGTTGGCCATTAGATAAGTTTTCAGGCTGGCCTTGAAACTATCTACTGATTTACAGTCCTTAAGTGTGTTAGGGAGACTGTTCCACAATCCGGGAGCTGTTGAGGCAAATGCTCGATCTCCCCATATTCGTCTGGTCTTAGGGATGATCAGAGTTGATGTATTGGCAGAACGCAGACCAGAACGACCAGGCTTGCGAAAGTTGAGTAGAGAATAGATGTACTGTGGCGAGGAGAACTTCAAGGCACGGTATGTGATCAGAAGGATTTTGTAGGTGAGACGATGTTCAACAGGAAGCCAATGCAGGGATTTAAGGACTAGAGTGATGTGGGCGAACTTGCGTGTATATGTCACTAGACGGGCAGCAGCATTCTGAACAAGCTGGAGCCTCTTAACTTGAGACATAGGGATGCCATAGAGTAAAGAGTTACAACAATCGATGCGGGATGTAACAAATGCATGCACAAGCTGCTCAGCTGCCTTTGTGGTGAGATACTTGCGAATAGCACAAAGATTACAGAGACTGTGGATCGCAAGTTTAACACTTGATGATACTTGCGACTCCATGGTCATATTGGAGTAAAAAATAACTCCAATATTTTGAATTTTCTTTACTGGAGTAATTGATGACGAACCAATATTCAGATTGGGGGTTACCGACTTGGCGAGTTGCTGCTTGGTACCCAGCATAACAAACTGAGATTTGTCGTCATTGAGCTTCAAGTAATTCTCCTTCATCCAATTCCTAATGTCACTTATACAGGCTTCAACACGAGCAATCCAGGCATCAACTTCCCCTTTTGAAGGAGAACACAAAAAGTATATCTGCGTGTCATCAGCATACATATGGTGCTTGAGATTATGCCTCTTGATGATATCATGAAGGGGAAGAGTGTAAATGTTGAAGAGTTGTGGCCCAAGTACCAATCCCTGGGGCACAGAGAAGCCAAGATGAACTTAGAGACACATAATAGCATGTCTGTCCTATAATCTCACATATTATTTCGTCTGTCATCCCTCTTGACTCCCAATACACACAAATAACACAATAATACACTTCAATTATTGTGGAATAGCCTGACTACGACTACTGAGAGCTGGCCGTTTATTCAGTATGAATGTTTAACAAACATTTCTTCTCGTTTCCTTCACTGGAAACCGGACCTATCATGGTCCAGGATAAAAAAACAGAGATAAAACTCAACGAGCATAAAAACCTTATTCAAACACAGTCATGTAACACTACATGACACAACGCACTTTTATTGTAAATAAAAGATGTCTCGTTGAAAGTTCAAGCTAGAATGATTCAATTACACACTAATTCATGCCACGCCCTGGTCTCCGTGGCAGAATTAGCTCGCACACCTGTACGAGCTGCCTATGCAAATCACATTCCATCGGGGCACAGCCCCGGACCCAACATAAGTATGCATTCATTAACGATACAAACAACATTTGCCTGCTATACAATCGTACCGCAGACAAATAATATTAAAAAACCCTAATACAGGGAAACCTTTGTAAAAAGACTAAGGGAGACACACAAAAACGGTCTTTATGGGCATGTGGTCTTTATTTTTTTGTTAGGTTTCCTTTATCTAATGAGAAACATGTTTCAAGGGAACAGAAAATATTGTCTTTATAGACAAGTTCCTTGTACCGGTATGCAATAAGAAACATTTTAACTGGAACAAAATATGTGGTCTTTGTAAACAGGTGGTCTTTGTAACATTATAATCAGTTTGTAAATTAAATTTGGAAAATAACTTAAAGAGAAGGTTGAGTTCTGGAAAGAGGTGGAAAATAATTTGTGAGCGTTTTCATTTTACTATTATGCAAGTGTGGAAGAACATCAGATACAAAGTGTTCCCTGAAAAGCATGAGTCTTCAAATTCCTTAATATTTTAAATATGTTTGTAAACTTTTGTAATTCGGCTAAACGTTGCGATGAATGTTTTATTTGAAATAAACTATTTTTAATGAATGAATGAATGTAAACTTGAATTTAAAAAGATTGCTTCCGTTTTGGTTTGTAAATTCCCTCTATGGCGGAGGCATCATTCTTGACTGCACGCAGTCAAAGTTTCATCTAGTTTTATTAATGTCTTAATATGACAAATATAATTTATTTATAATCAAAATTAAATTTTTCAATTAAAAGATAAAATATTTTATTTTTTGAAGATTTGATAAAACATGCAATTTTACTTATAAGTATGATTGACATAGTTGGCCAATCATAAATCCAAATGGCGGCAGCCAGATACCAGTAGGATTGTGATGAAATGACCTTTTATAATTTGATATATCACAAAAAGATGAACAAGATCTGAGATTTTCTTAGTGATTTCAATTGACTGATATTATATTTTTCAATGCACAATTATTATTTTTTGACTTTCATTCTCCTTAAAATTTTGATTTCTTTACTTACAGGTTGAGCAATCAGCAAATAACCCAGTCCAGCCATCATCCAGCAGGGCATGGTCATCACACCTTCTATCATCACCACCTCCAACATCCAGCCCTGCAGGGAGGAGCAATCAAGTTGATTCACAGACAGGCCATAGTCCCACATATGCCAACCTCGTCACAGAAGATATCCCATTCCGATTGTCAGAGCAGTTGTACTTTGCTCAGAAACTCTCAACAGACACAAGCTACTTTTCCGTGCCCCATCTCCCCAGCTACAATCCAACTAAATATCTCTATGACTTTGAGGAGGAAAGGAGAATGCTAAGAGAAACAGCTGATACTTGTGATTGATATGCATTGATTTTCTTTGATGTCCCATAGTACTTAAGTCAAGTTGACCTACTTGCAAGCTCTACAAGAACTTTAGGGGTTCCATTTTATAAGGTGAAAGTGTTCACCTAGGTCAACAGAGGCATTTATAAAAGCAGGCCTGATAAAAACCCGATTTAAATCGGTTTCCGAATTTTTTATTTTGCCCGATTTTTTCCAGATTTTTTTCTTTTTCTTTTTTTTTTTTTTTTTTTTGAACCATATTCTTATTTTCCTTCATTATTTTATTCTGATTTTCCCGATCCCCCCTTATTTTCTCTATTCTTCCCTATTTTGCCCTATTTTTTCCAAATTTTCTTACTCGAAAGGGGGAATGTTGTTAGATGCCATTTTTTCCCCATGAATCCTCTTCTTTTTTTTTTTTACTCAAGGGGGGGCGTGGTTGAGGGGAAAACAAAAAACCTATTTTATTTTTAGTGCTCACTATCACCCCTGTAAAAGGAAACTTGTTTTATTGGGGCGTAAGCAGCGAACCCGATTCCCATAGGAACCAGATGGCTCTTGTGCGATTTCCCACTGGAACCGGTGGGCCCCTGTATTAACCCTATGGTAATGAGAGAATTCAATAGTCGGCAATTTAACCCATACCACTTCAATTTTTATATTCCACTCCTTCATAGTTTGAACAAAAAAAAATGTATACAGCATCAAATGAACCAATGTGAATTACAATCGCACAATTTAACCAAAAATTGGTAATTTGTACAAGAAAGTTGGGATTTTATATTGTACAATACTTTGAAAATTTAGATACTGGAATGATTTGTTACATTTAAATCACTTGTATTAAAAAACAGCTGGATATTCTGTAATGCTCTAAATTTTCGGTGATTTTTGCTCCTCCTCCTCATGTGTAATTTCTATTATTCTGGATCAAAAGACGGAATACAAAAATGTCACTAAAATGAGACACTGTATTGCTATGGAGTTACATGGAAACAATGCCTATAATCATCTCACATATTTGCAATGAGCATGCAGGTAAATATCTGCTTGAGAGACCTCAAACATGTGCTGTCAGCAGCACGCTATCTGCGCATGCCAGAATGACAGCCACCCGTCTGATATTACGCAACTGCTTTAGATGACATCACTGGTAGGGTGTGCGATAGATTATTTGCTGCTTTTGCACATATGTTGTAGGACAGTTTCGATAAGTATTTTTGCTCTTGTGATTGGCTGTCTACTTCCCAAACTCAACTTAACCCTATTCTGACTGGACTCTTTCTTCACTCTTATAGTCTGCTGTCTACTTCTAAACTCAGCTCATGATGTACCTATTCAAGATTGTATACATCGTGCTCCATAAGTAAGACCCTTATTGGAATGGAACTCTCTGAACAATCTGTAGTGATGTCTGCTGACATATCAGTTTACATCGAGCTGCCAAACGCTCAATTTCAAGACATGCTATGATATCCATGCTATTGCCGATTTCTGCTCCATAGACAAGGAAAATGCTCAATTTTAGAGCTGTGATAATTAGTGACTTGCCATGAATGTTGTTGTTTCTTTAGTCTCATTGTGAAAAGCTGAGCGGACAATTTGAGCAACAGCGACGGCATGATGGTGATCTTGTACTTATATGTATGACATGTTCATGCAAATCTTCTCTGGGGTAATTCTGAAACTGAAAAGTACATTGAGTTAAATACATGTAGTTAATGCACTTAATTTATTTAAGCTAATAATATAGAAATATTTCTTTTTAATCATCATTATTATTATTAAAGAATAATCTTATTGAAGTATAACACTATAAGGACATTATCTTTCCATGCCTTTTGCTAGCTTCCTGCTGTGCAAGTTTCATTAGTCTTTCTAAGGTATACTATTTTGTATTTGTACACACTACACAGTTTTTAATTACTTTGATTAATGATAAATGAATGAATCAGATTCTAATATAGTGAATATCTGCCAATTAAATTAAATGAATTCATAGAGATATCTTAATGGTTGTAATTGGATATATGAGATCTATCTAAGAACAACATGTAGCTGTTTTTTCAACACAGAGTACCTTTAATGAGTTATTATAGGATGTGTTTTATGCCAGTCGTAAAGATATGCAATTGCCACTGTATTTGGTACTGTTATAATGCATACCGGTCTTCTCAGCTGCTCTTATGAAATGTTGTGCAATGTATCACAGTGCCTTTCATAATTTACAAAACAATTTGTATGATGTGTGTGTGTTAAATTCTTGTAATATTTCACTTTTGATAGCATAGTAAATTAGAAAGTAGATAACATCCTTAATAAATCAGTTAGGAAGTTGTCCAAGGTCATTCTGTTTTCATCAGGATCAATTTTATGTTGGTAAAATGATTTAGGTTACAACTAGGGCAAGTCCAAGCTATTTTGACCCATACCTTACTAACCACATCTGCCATTTGAGTATAATTGGTTACTCTACCAATCTCATAGTCCTACTAGAGCTTGGATCATTACAAAATTATATTTCATATAAATTTGTGTTCACAATTCCATAAGGTAATTGCACTTGGCAACATAATGGGAAATTACATACCTAAGATTTTTCATGTTAAAACATATTGCAGGTTTGAGAGGGATGGGGGCGAGGGGAAGACACCGTCGCACCCCTAGTAGTGAACCATTCAACATACAATACTTGAGGAGAACAAGTGCAGCCCTTCTTTTTTCTACTTTACTTGTCATTTTGTGAGAAATGTTATAATTTGGATGTCGAAGGTGATATTGACAGGTGCACCCAACACTGCTTCCCCTGCAGTCACCCCTCAGTGAACACAGAAATAATCTTTGAAAAACTTTAATGTGGGACAACATTGGAGCAAAGGTGAGAAGGTCAGCTATGACAGAATCTTTTCACAAATATTATACAAGGGAAACCTGTCTGTATAGCTAGGCCACCCATGGGAAAAGGGCAAGCTGGCCACTGTAGACAGGTGGCCTTTCTGGACAGGTTCTTTGAAATACATTTCACCCTAGAGGAAGATATTATAGGTGACCACTATAGACAGGTGGCATTTGTAGAGAGCTGGCTAATACATTAAGAAATGTTTGACTGTATTTAGTTGATGATAACTTTGTTATGTTTTCATCTGGTATATACATTAACATGCATTGTGGATTACAAAGCATGAAAGTTTTCTTGTTTAATTTTGTCATCTTATTTCATGCCATCACGTTGACTCTAAGGTGTATGATATGGCATGGGATGGGCTCATTACTAGTTCAGTTTAAGCCTAGAACATATCTTAGATTTAATTTAAAATGCAATTGAGAGGAAACAAGTTCAGTTCAGGTAGTCTGCAAGCACAGACTCTAACTTGACGCTTAGCTCCAATTCCTTAAAGCATTGAGCAGAGCCTAGATCTCTGGCAGTGTCATGAGCTGGTTAAGTACAGAGTTTATAGTGTGAAGTATACTGTGCAGTCAGCATAGTCTCACAGTGCAGACACTGCTAAGCACAACTAATAAGGTTTGTTCCTGCAAACTAGGGTTAGGTTTAGGTGTAGTGTTTAGTCAAAAGGTGAAGCAGGAAACCTGTCTCTCTAACAATTCCCGGAGCAAAGTTAGAAATTTGGTTAGTGCAAAAAATTAATTTTGGAACACTTTTGGAACTTTTTCTATAGCAATATATGTGCAAAACTACCAGTGTCTTTTCTTGCTATTCATTATTCAAACACGCTAGTACTATTTTTCCTACTTAACCACTTGTAAAGCCCTGTCTTAATTGGAAAATAAAGTCGCGGGTCGACATTTACCCCCTTCCAATTCAGACGCGTCAGATTGACGAATATCGAGGAAAATCTCACCCTAGACGAGCCAGGGTGATATTTACCCGGGTAAATTACATCATCGTCATGAAAGAATGTGTACATGAACACAGCGCGCGCCAGCTGATCGCTGGGTGAGGTTTTTGCGGATGGCTGATTAAGACGGTGTCCAAAAGCTCACCCCGTGTTTTACGATCAGACCCCCCACTGTTTCTCGTCCACATGTCGCTCGGGTGAGATCGAAAAAGTTCTATTAAGACGGGGCTTAAAGGTACTATGTCCCAATTGCAGGCCAAAAAAAATGAAAAAGTTAGATTCCAACTGCATTTGAAAGATAATACTAATTTAGAACTTCCCTAAAAAAGATGGGGCTTGAAAATGTCTTCAAGTGGGAAAATAACGACTATTAGTTGTCAAATCGACTTTAGGGCTATAGAGCCCAAAAGTAATAGTCTTGATTTTCAGACAATTGTACCGAATGGTCATACGTTTTATGCTGCGCAAAGATTCAATCAGTTTAATTTTGGCCATCACAAGAAGTGGGTTATTGATGTAGACAAATGCTCATGTACCCTTCACAACTCTTTTCATGTATGTTATTACCAAAGAAGAAAAAAGCCAGTCAGTCACTCAATAGTGTCTGACAGTGAAGTCTAGCAAGTAAACGGGTTTCCTTGCATAATTTGAATATTAGGACACTGCTAACGTTTAAATTTCACAGATAGGACATACATGACATATTCATAATTCCTGTAAAGTTCTACATAATTTGAGGTTGGCTGCAAAAGGGACATAGTACCTTTAAGTTAATCAATTTACTTATATGTTTGATACTAAAAGGTTGGTATTTATATGTTTATCTTATAGCTTCTACACTCATGTTGGGGTCAACCATGTTTTTAAGAAAAGCTGCCAAGGAAAAGAAAGAAAATAATATTATTTAAATGCAATTAGGTTACAAATATACTATATTTACCACTCTTTGCACCGACGGCATGCACTCTCTTAATTGGAGTGCTGATATGTAAAGATTTATGATGCGCCTTACACCTAAAGGTGTATGACATTATATATTGTTGTGGCTTTCATCTTCTTCTTGTGTCCAATCGATTTACTAGTGTATTTCTTCTAATTTTTGCCAATGATGATAGATATGAACCATTCTTGCCATGATAATTTGTTTTTTCTCTGACATGTTTTAGCAATTCCCTTTGATGTATATGTCAGGGTGTTAGAGCAGATGATGCTGATTATGCCACTGACTTTTTAGATTATTTATTTATTTTTATGTTTAAATTGGGATGGGGGGACTGTATCAAAAGAATGACAATTCTTTGTGTGATCAAAGGGCTCAAAAGTCTCCCGTATATACAAATTAGGTCTTATATCTTTGCATCATAGCCTACAGACT